GAAAAGGCGGGTATATTTAACAACACCTATAGTATTAATAAAACAAGGCACATGAAAATTATAAAAATAATAGAAAAGGTGGATATAAAGGAAAATTGAAAACCCAACCGTATAAGCCACCCCCTGTTGGAAGGTTAACCCAAATTTTAGTTACAAGGAAGAGTCATAAATTAGGGATAAGAAATGATAGAAGTTCTAAAGTTGTGATGTTTGGAATTTCTGGAGTTAATCATGATTTTTCTAGATGTTTCAATGTTCAAAGAACCTTATAATTACCTAAATAAATGATGATGTATTGTGGTGGCTATAAAAGCCATGTAGTGTAATGAGTTTTGTGTGAGAAAAAGAAATTAGAAATTAGAAGTCTTTTCAAGTTTTAAAAACCTCTCCGCTCTCCTACATTTCTCTATCCCTCTTCCTCCTACAAATTGGTACCAGAGCCGTGTTGAAGTTTTGTCAATATGGCGAATGCAAATGCAAATGGTCACAACTTGGCTTCACTAATTCCTCGATTTGGTGGTGATAATTACGACTACTGGAGCAACAATATGAAGGTGTTGTTGAAGGCTTTGGAGCTATGGAATATTGTTGAAGCAGGCTACGAAGAGACGGATAATGAAGCTGCGTTAACTCAAGCGCAGTTGAATACTTTGAGGGAAAACCGAAAGAAGGACAAGAAGGCACTCTTCCACATCTATCAAACCATTGAGATGCAAGTATATGAAAGAGTTGCGAAAGCCGAGAATGCAAAGCAAGCATGGGATATGATTGAGAATGCCTACAGAGGTAAGGAGAAGGTAAAGAAGTTTCGTCTGCAATCTTTGGAAAGAATTTGAAAAGTTGGAGATGAAAGAAGATGCACTACTAGAATTATGCTCATTACACACCATTTTTTGCCCACCCTTTGGAATTGGTGGCCATAGATATAAAGTTGCTACTCTTACTATTTTTTGGTGGCTTTACAGTGGGATGCTACTGATATCAGTGGCCTAAAAAAAATCAGCCACCAATATTGGTGTCTTAACTAACTTTATTTCTTAAAAATACTTTTTTTGTGCATTTGTGATTAACTAGGCACCAATACAATTTATTGAACACCAATAAAACAAATAAAAAAACCATTAAACCTCTCTCCCCTTCACAAAAGTCCAACTCCTCCCCTTCATTCCCTCCGCTCGCTTCCCCTTTCATTCTCTCTCTCCTCCCTCCCGTATACTCTTCTCTTTCATGCAGCAGCGGCTCCGTCCTCCGGTCACCAACGAGCGTCAAACTATACCTTTAGAATCTTCTTTCCTTCCTCTTTCCAACCCTCAAGTTAGTTTCTCCAAATTTGTAGTCGAATTTTCTCAATTTCAGATCTAAGAAACGGTGACCATGGGTATTCCGACCAATTTCCAGCGAAGTTTGCCTGAATTGGACCTCAACCAAGAGGTAAAAATGATCCTCTCCTCATGGTTGTTCCTAGTGTAAGTGATTTCTCAAAATAAAAACTTTCAGTTTTTGGATCGATTCTAGATTTCAAATTTTAATTCCATTTTCTGTATGCATGCCGAAGATTGGGGACAAGGAAGGTGAATCAAGGTTGTTTCCAACCTGGGCCGAGAAGAATGGAAGCCTTGGAAGGTTGTGGGTGAAAATTAAGGTGAAGAGGGTTCTTCTAAAAAAATTAAGGTGAACAGGGTGATTTTCTCCTTAACCACAACTATCACATTTTATCCCTTACTTGGAATTTTTTTAAAATTCCCAGGATCTGCAGTTGCAATACTTTTGATGGACAAATTAAAAAAGAAGCAACTGCTTTTATAAAGCTTTTGTAGTATCAAGCACAGTAAATATATTAGCACTAGAAAGTGAGGAAATCCACTTTCTTTGGTCAAGTTAGATTCTCTACTATGACTACTATTTTTATCTCTAAACAAATTTTTAATGGTATATATGATATAAAAGGGTAAATTTAACTATTTTGGTTTCTCTTTTCTCACGCTTTGGTGCCTCGAGTTTTAATTTTTCATAGCTGTGTTGAGTTTTTTTCCAGTTACAATTCGGGAGCCATTGGCAACTTCTAAGGGACCAAAATTGTTTTCAAGTCAAAATACAGGAACCAAATCGTAACTAGACTAGGAGATCACATTACCAAAGTAGGAAAGTTCCTTACTTGATTCATAGTTTGGCAACATAATATGTATGTAGGATGTTGTTTTAGAACCGCTTGGTAAGTGTTAAATACATCCTATAACATGACTGACTAACAAGCATGGTCGTTCAGATATACATGCAATTGAGATCACTGACCAAATCAGATTTCTTTTATATTGAAGCAAATCTTGACTATTGGGTGTTTGTGAAAGTTCCCCAGAGAGTTAGAAACAAGGACATGACGCAAATCTGAATGTAGGCTGTTTTGGTATGTGTGTGTACGTATAGGGGTGTTATATTGATATGACATGCTGCCTAATTTATCTATTTTTGGATTGCTAGATCAAAGAAGGAAGTTCAATTTATCAAGGATCAAGGTTTGGACTGCTAGACAGCACGTTGCCTTCGGTTTGAGGTATGGAAGTCTCGTGCTTGCAATCTGGCCGCTTACGTGTTTAAATTTCTGGTTTATCAATATGCTCAAGATTTGGTTAGCAGGTAGTTATGCTAATAAATTAAAGTTCCTTTAAGCATATGGTTGGTAGTCTTGGTGCCGTCCAGATTTGTGTAAAAATCTAGAGCCATCTGCATGGTCCTATGTTAATGAGCTGCAAGTAAAACTTCAGTAACAATGTGTTTTTGTATTTCTTTCTAGCGTTCAGCTCTTTGTGCTCGAAATTTGGCGATCAGGACTTGCCTTTGATTTTATTCAGTGCAGCTGAGTTTTGCATCGATTTGTTCATCTTCTTCCAGATTTCTATTCCATTTTTTTTGTTTTATATTGTTTTGGGATATGTGAATGTAATTTTTTGGGTATTTCTTTGCTTCAATTCTCTCTAATTTTTTGCTGTTTAGTTTGAACTCCCATTGCAGCATCATCATCTGCTCTTGCTGCTGCTGCCTTTGACTGGTATTTCCCTATTTGCTGCCCAAACAACAGTTCTTTCAAATACTACTTGCTCTCATATACTACTTCCTTGGAGTACCATATACCTATATAGTAGTTTGAAAGCTGACCTGGTTTGAAGAAACCTAGCTCAAACATCCCACCTGGAAAGACAATGGTTTGATCGCCAAAGAGAGATTGGCATGACATGATTAAGCTCTTTGGAAACAGAGTGTTCAAACACTTTTCAAAGTTTGAGTCCCAACATTTGTTCAAAATTGTATTAAAGATTAGTCATGCAAATTTGTAGTATATTCTTATATCAAAGATCTTACAATTTGTTTCCTCACCAAAAAAAAAAAGAATAAAAAAAGTGAAATATTCCTATTCAAATCTGGGTGCCCACACGGGGGATCCTTTTTTTTTAATATTATTTTGCAACTTTGCCACCGATGTGAACATGGGTGGCACTGCAGGAAAGGCACCAATGCAATATTGGTAGCCATTGTTACAATAGAGTCCTCTACATAGGTCACACTCTCTAGTTTAGTGGGTGATTGGTGGCCATAGAGGTTTGCCACCAATGTGAGTGGCAACACTTGATGATAGCCACCAAATGAAAAGGGTGGCTTATAGCCAAATTTCTAGTAGTGATGAGACAATCAAAGACTACTTTATCAGAGTTACCTCAATCGTTAATCAAATGCCTTCAAATGGGGAGATTCTCGAAGAAGCAAGAATTGTTGAGAAAATTCTCCGTAGCTTACCGGCGAAATTCGATTATGTTGTGGCTGCCATCGAAGAGTCAAATGATATTTCAACTTTTTCTATGGAAGAGGTACAAGGAAAATTGGAGGCACATGAGATCAAAATTAATTTGAGGAATCCTCCTGCTACTCAACCTCAAGCACTCAAGTCTCAAGTTGCAACTAGGGGAGGCAATGGCAATCAAGCTTTGAGCCCTAATCAAAGCTTTGGATGTGGAAGAGGTGGAAGAGGCGGACGAGGTAGAGGAAGATATTTGAATGGTAGAGGCACTAATTCTTATGGCAATGAACGAGGCTCATCAAACAACTCCAATAATGAAGGTGAAAGAACTTTCAATTTGTACCGAGGAAGAGGACGTGTTTTTCAAAGAGGAAGAGGACGTGGCACTCCATAATGCTACTACTGCAACAAACCTCGGCACAAGATCAAAGAATGTCAGTTAAAAAAGGCAGATGATGAAAAACAATATGGAGCAGGCTATATGCATCAAACCAACTCTGGAGATGGTGATTATAAAGAAACTTTATTGCTTGCATGTCATGGAGATCAAATGAATGATGTGTGGTATTTAGATAGTGGAGCTAGCAAGCATATGACAGGTAACAAAAACCTTTTTTCTGCCCTCTATAAGTTTGATCAGGGTCAAGTGAGAATTGGTGATGATAGAGCCTATAAAATTGAGGGAATTAGTGAGGTGCCTTTCAAATCAAAAACTGGAACAATTGAGAAGGTTTCTGAAGTATATTATGTTCCTGGTTTGAAGAGTAATTTATTAAGTATGGGCCATCTGTTGAGGAAGGGTTATGATATTCGCCTCCGTGGTGATTTTTGTCTTCTCAAAAAGGAGGATAAATTTGTTGCCAAGTTTGGACTTGTTGAAATAACTTGTTTCCTTTGAAACTCCAGACAACAAAACTATCTTGCTTTGTGAGCGCTGAAAAAGAAGTCTCAAAGTTATGGCATGATAGATATGGCCATTTAAATTATGGAAGTTTGAAGTTGCTGTCAAACAAAAGAATGGTACATGAGCTGCCTCAAATTGATCCAGTGGATGGCGTTTGTGAAGATTGTCAATTTGGTAAGCAACATAGAAGTTCATTTCCTCCAGAGTCTTCCTGGCGAGCAAAAGAAGCCGTTAGAGCTTATTCATTCTGACTTGTGTGGTCCACTGCCAGTAGCATCTTTTGGAGGTAATCTATATTTCATTACATTTATTGATGATTTCTCAAGAAAAGTTTGGGTTTACTTCCTCAAAGAAAAAACTGAAGCATTTCAAGCCTTTAAAGATTTCAAGGCCGAAGTTGAAAAGTTTGTAGGCTTTCAAATCAAAAGTTTGAGGACAGATCGTGGTGGAGAGTATCTCTCCAATGAATTTCAAAAATATTGCAAAGATCATGGAATAAAGCACCAGTTGACAGCCCGATATACACTGCAACAAAATGGTGTGAGCGAAAGAAAGAACCGAACAATCATGGAGATGGTGAGATGAATGCTCAAGAAGAAAAGATTACAACAAGAACTTTGGGCAGAAGCTGTTTCCTGTGCTGCATATTTAATCAACAGATCATCAACAAAGAGTTTGAAGGATTGCACACCTTATGAAGCATGGTATGGAGTGAAGCCGAGAGTGCAACATTTGAAGATTTTCGGTTATGTTGCCTATTCCCATGTTCCAAAGGAGTTCAGAAACAAGCTCGACAATAAGGCAGAAAAGTGCATTTTCATTAGATATAGTGAAAGGAGCAAGGCTGAAGGAAAATTTGTGAAAAACATGTTCATTTAAGCAACATCAATAGCATGCAATTAACAATTAAAGGCGGAATCATGCTTGTATGCACTTAAAACAAAACATTTACCCATGAAATTCAAAGCCTAGTAGATAGGTGAACCAAGACTCAACTCAAAACAAAGTGAGTTGAGAAATCAATACCTTTGTAGATTCCTCTTTGCATAAGCAAAGGCTAATCACCCAAAGAGAGGGCCTTCATTCCTTGCATCTTGGATCCATGGATTTGGATGGATGAAAAGGTTTCTCCAAGTTCCCAAAATTGAGAACCTCTAAGTCTCCACACCAAGGTATATTGTAGAAGAAATGAGTGACCTAGAGGAAGTAAGATTGCTAGCTATTCCCCTCTAGATTGGCCAAAATTTTTGAGAGAAAAGAGAGCTTGTGTTCTCATCCTTTCCCCAAAAATAACCCTTAGTAAATTTTAGGCTATAAAGTCCTTTATATAGTCCCTTCAAATAAGTGACCTAAGGGACCAAAAGCCCTATTCTTTTACACATGGCTAGCCTATAGGTTTATTGGGCTTTCAAGCCCTTTGTTTTATTCAAGTTGTCATACAACTTGAGTTAATGGGCTTGACATTCAAATCCCATTGGACCTTGCGGCCCAAAACTAACCCGAGGTCTTTTAACGAACTTATTTGTTTGATTAATAATCATATTAATTAATCCTTGCCATAAATAATTAAACCATTTAATTATTCTTACTCATCTCCGTTGAATCTTCAATCTCTACCTTACACGGTGTACGATCCATTAGGTTCCTTTTAGCGAGGCAGTGGGCGATTCAAACTCTTTCAAATCGATTGTGAATTGAAACTTACTTTCAATTCTCCCGTTAGTGATAATACACTTTTAGGGCTTCCACAAACCATGAGTGACACCTAGCAGCATATCATGGTTACCCAAGCTAATCAGAAGAGGTGGAGAACCTATTCAGTTTAGGATTACAAATGCAATACGGTCTTTCTCTAATACAATACTCTTGACCACATTGTTTGGTTTGATAGTTTATTCATGTCTACTATCCAATGTGAATCTTGTACTTATATGATTACCTTGAATGTGATCTGGAACGCATTCCAACATCTCATTCATACTCTGGCCAGAGATTCTAAATCATATCATAGAGTATTCTCCCTCAAACAGTTTGAAGGTTAGAGATCCCTTGTTGCGCATTCACTTGCCTCCATGGCTAAGTGGCTTAACCCCAACGATGCCGTGGACACCCTGATAGAGTGACTTTGACATAATCAAAGATTAAGGACCTAACCACAAGACAACTGTGATGCCTCAGGTCAAAAGACTAATTTGCATTATCCCAACCATGAGTTCTCATGTGACATGAATATGAGAACTCTTCGTTGATCGTGTTCAGTGAACTCATTCTCTATTGAGCACCTACGTACTTGTCTTGATGTCACACACACCAATGACTCGAGACTAGTCACTCTCCCTGAGAGAAGACATAGCACGTACTAATCTTAACGGACTGTCAATGCCCAATTGACAATCCTATGATCAGGAACGTTTAGGATGTGTCAACGAAAGAATGGTCTCATGAATCTAACTTCTTTAGATCGCATTCTTCCAATCACATATTCCTTGGACTTATCGTTTAAGCATATAACATTTATATTAGACGGCTCAAACAATAATCTTTGCCCTTTAAACTACATTAGTTTGAAATGTCCGTAAAGTATCATCATATGATTGGTTTTAGGGCACATTTCCAACAAAGGCCTACAAGCTGTACAATCCGAAGACCAAAAATTTCTTGATCAGCCGTGATGTCCACTTTGATGAAAATGCTTTCTTTGAAGATGAAAATGGTCCAGCAAAGCTGCCTATTATGCAAGAAGAAGATGATACTTATCAATCAGAAATTGCTCCTCAATCTCCAAGAGCTACATCAAGTGATGACGACTCGCCTCCAAGAAAGTTTAGAAGTATACGAGATCTTTATGACTCCTCAGAGCAAGTAGATTTTGAGGATAATACTATATTCTTTGCCTTCTTTGCTGGAGAGGATCCAATTTCATTTAATGAAGCATATGAGGAAGAAAAATGGAAGCAAGCCATGGATGAAGAAATAAAGGCTATTAAGAAGAATGGGACTTGGGAGCTCACAAATCTGCCAACACACAAGAATCCTATTGGTGTTAAATGGGTATATAAGACAAAGAAAAATGCAGATGGGTCCATTAACAAGTACAAGGCGAGACTCGTTGCAAAGGGTTATAAGCAAAAGGAAGGTGAAGATTATACTGAAATTTTTGCTCCTGTTTCCAGACTTGATACTATTCGATTGATCATTTCACTTGCTGCACAAAACAATTGGGAAATTTTTCAAATGGATGTAAAGTCTGCATTCTTGAATGGTATCCTTCAAGAAGAAGTTTATTTGGAGCAGCCACCTGGACATGTGAAGAAAGGAGAGGAAAATAAAGTTTACAAGCTTAAGAAGGCGTTATATGGGCTCAAGCAATCACCACGTGTATGGTACAGCATTATTAATTCATACTTCGAGAAGCATGGTTTTCAGAAGTGTCCGTATGAACATACCCTCTATGTCAAAAGCACCTCACAAGGAAGTTTCATGGTTGTAAGTCTTTATGTGGATGATCTTATCTTTACCGGAAATGATTTGGAGTTATTAAATGGTTTTAAGCTCTCTATGATGGAAGAATATGAGATGACAGATTTGGGCAAGCTACATCACTTTCTTGGTATTAAAGTTTCTCAATCTAAGAAGGGCATTTTCATTTCTCAAGAGAGTTATGCAAAAGAAGTTTTGAAGAAATTTGGGATGGAGAATGCAAACCCAGTAGTGACACC